ATGTGATATCAAAAAATCACTTTTTTCATTAATGTCCATCTAATTTTTCGTGTAAGGGGTAGTTCTTCAATTTCACCCTAAGTAAGTTTTCAGTGGCCCACCCTGTATAATAGAACTTCGTATTAAGAAGAGCTTATGTTGTAATACTACGAGAAATCAACCGAAGAGTTAAGTTAGCATGGAGTACTTATGGAAGAAACTCAATCATATTCAAATCTAAAATGCTACTTTATCTAAAGAAGAAAACATTCGACCAATGTGTACTACAAGTACCTATGCATGCGAAACCCGATATTAAAACGGACATTAGAAAATTGCAGGTCGCACAACGCTTAATGGCATTAAATATTGTGAGAACAACCAAGAAAGACCGTAAAGAATAGAGTGGATACGACAAAAAAACAGGTAATAGATGTTATCCACAGAAGCAAATCCCTCAAGTAGCAATGGGCAGGACACCTGGCAAGAAAGACGGGCAGATGGACCACAAAAATTACAGCATGGTACCCACGAGGAAGAGATCTAGAGGAAGACCAAACTTGAGATGGGACCATGATATTAGGAAATTAGTAGGAATAATCGCATATCCAACATTAGACAACAATGGGCCCAACTATAAAGAGAATATCTAAACATGTGAGGGAGGCACACCATAATGGGAAATAGTTGAAAAATCTGAGAATGATGAGGACGATGATATTGTAATACATCTGTAACTATGGTTATTAAGATTATTACATCTTGAAATTCAATTGCCACCTTTATTATCCATCATAGATCATAATATTCACAAAATGTAAAAATTATTTTAATGAAAGAAAACAAAAAGAAATCTTTAATATATTACAGATAAATTATGACAGAAAAGGTCTAATCTTCTCGAAATTCATTAGCGAGTAGAGTTAATAACAAGTTATTAGTATTAAATGCGGTTCTACAATGGCGAGGAAGCCTCATCTAACAATTTATTAATTTAGTTTACGAGAAAACGAAGATTAATTCCGATAGACGCGAGAACGTTTGTTATGCGAACTATTTGTTCTGTAACTTCGAAAGTAGATTAATTCATTGTTGGCCGTTATTAGCTTTTAACGAATGATTTGTTTAATATACGGGATATTTTTTAATTAACTGTTAATACTGATGTCTTATATTAGCCATACATAATCAATATTAACTTCTTCTTCTTTACGTGCCGTCTCTTTCGTGGAGGTTGGCGATCACATTGGCAAAATCTTCACGATTCTCGGCTTTCCTTATAAGTTCTTCAAAAGTTAGGTGAGTCCAGTTTCTGATGTTTCTCAACCAAGATAGTTTCTTCCTGCCGAGACCTCTCTTTCCTTCAATCTTACCCTTAACTATCAATTGTAAGACGTGGTATTTTTCATTTCTCAATATATGCCCTAAGTATGACGTTTTTCTTATTTTTATTATATTGAGCAATTCTCTCTCTCTGCCTATTCTGTTGTAGACTTCGGTATTTGTGATATGGGCTGTCCATGGAATTTTAAGCATTCTTCGATATATTCAGGTTTCGAACGATTCGAGGCGATTCATCTCTTGAACTTTCAGTGTCCATGTTTCTGCTTCGTATAATAGGATTGACCAAACATAACACTTAACGAGCCTAGTTCTCAACTCTAGGTCCAATCTGGGATTCTGGAAGACGTTCTTCATTTTTAAAAATGCATTTCTTGCTTGTTCTATTCTGGTTTTTATTTTCACGTCGTTGTTCAAGGTGTTAACTATCCAGGACCCCAAATATTTGAACTTGTAGACCTGTTCTAAGGTATTGCCCTCTATTTTAATAGGAATTGGTACATTTTGGTTCTTTCCAAATATCATGACTTCATCCCGTATTTCTTACAGGAGCCTTCAAGTCGTTCCACTAAACTCTGGAGACCAGTATCAGAATCGGCAATAAGAACTGTGTCATCGGCAAATCTAATGTTGTTAATGACTTCGCCGTTAACTTTAATACCGCAATCTGTTGAAGAGAAAGCTTCCCGTAAAATCGCCTCAGAATAAACATTAAATAACGAAGGAGACAGCACACATCCCTGTCTTACTCCTCTCTGTATATTGACTTGATTGGAATTGTCATTTTCAATTTTCATGTGGGCTGTTTGTTGCCAGTATATATTTTTCAGAAGTGGTACATCTTTGCTGTCAACTCCCAACTCATACAACATTTCGATAAGTCTCGTATGTTTGACTCTATCGAATGCTCTTTCGAAATCTACGAAACACACATACATTGGTTTTTGTTGGTCTGTACACTTCTGCGCCGTCAATTGTAAACAGAATAAGGCCTCTCGTGTTCCCAATCCACTCTTAAACCCAAACTGTTATAGCCGCTTTCTTGCTCACACTTCTTATAAATTCTGTTATGTATTATTTTAAGTAACACTTTCAGTGCGTGACTCATTAAACTAATAAGTCTGTAGTCACTGAGATGTCGAGCTGATGGTTTTTTCGGAAGCAGTACAAAAGTTGAGTGGAGCCAGTCATCAGGTACTTTTCCTCTATCATAGATCTTGTTAAAAAGCCTAGTCAATATATCTACGTTCTCTTATAATTACGTTCTCTCAATATTAACAAGATATTTTAAATTGATAGTTTTTTTTATAACTATCAATAACTCATCATACAGTCTCAGAGCTGTGAGAAAAGCCAGTATCTGAGACGGTTTTACAGATGATAGTTCTCCATCTCCGATATCAGTCGTACCAAAGTTTATGACACGAATGGTTGTCGTCTCGGCGCACTCAGTGATGAGTTGTTCTGATGTTTCCCCATTTTTCCTACTGAATTTGTATTAGCCGTTGATTCTTAGCTTCAGTATACCGAGGTGTTCCTCGAGGAGACAGTGTCCTGTTAAAACCCCTGAGACAATCCGAAAATTGTTCTTACTTAAATCAAAGAAAATCTTTGATTTTTCTCGGTCGAAAGAAGTCCTCCGAGATTTATTCAAGTGTCTTAGATCGTTGGAGGATTCTCATTTTAGGTTATGGATGCCGTCTTCCAGATTCTTGAGTTCTACTTTAAGTTGGTTTCCAATGGGAACGCAGAACGTGTTTGATCCAGATAATGGAGTGTTCATTTCTTTTCTAGTTAGATCGTTTGCTTTTTTCATTGCCTTCTATCACTTGGTGGGCTGGCCACAATAAGAGTACTTTATTTTCCGTGTCCAATTAGACTAACAAATAGAATGTTTCTTTGTAAAATTCCACTGGGTTATAATTCAAACACAATCCAGCTCTTCAGAGTATGTTTACTTGTGAACAAAATTATTGTTTAAATACCAAAAAACAACTTAAATTTTTAGACTTTATATCTCTCTCCGTTATCAAAAGAATAAAGGAACAAACTATTTAAAATAATTAAATCTAACTATTTTCGGAACTGTTCTTTTATTTAAATGGCTAAAGTTATTGAACTTAAAAACCCAAATAATGTTTTTTCGTATGTTTATTCACACATTGTGTTTCTTATTACATTTAATTTGTATAGGGTTAATTTTAAATATTATATTTTTTTTCCGTTCAACTAGAGTAGTGCAAGCGTTGCCGAAAAATGATTCAGTTCGCACTTTTCGTGGAGCGCAAAAGAGTATCATTTACACCCAGCACAGCCATTTTAATTTTTTTCTACTGTCAATAATATTTGGAGAAAAAACTTGTAATAGACTTATAAATTCTTAATTTGAAATCTCTGTCTTCTTAAAACTAAAAAAAATCCTTTCTTGATATTACAGGACGTGTATTGAAATCAGCATTGACTCCCTGCAAATAAAGAGGGAGGGGGGGCTATTTAAAAAAGGGCTGATTTGGAAAGGCTGATTTTTTATACCTGTATAAACATATATTAGGGATTTTAATTTCAATAAATTAAAAGCGGAACTCCGTGGAACTCATTAATATAACTTATTATGAAAACAAAATTATAAAAAAATAAGCACAAAATAGTTTGTTTAAAATATATTTTATATACATTCAAAACAGTTCAAGTTTATTATATTGATGTGATTTAATTGTACTACATGCCTGTAGCTATATTGTCAAAAATGATAATTAATTTGCAAATGGCTGTACTGGGTGTAAAAGACTCTTTTGCGCCCCCAGAAAGCCCCGGAATCCATCGACTTTCTGTAGCGCTTGCGCCGTTTACATTTAAAATTAGGTCCATAGATTTTATAAGAACGACAGTCATTTATGAGAACGACAGATAAATCTACGAAAAAATAGTATATTGAACAACGAGTTTCGAAAACGACGTTTTGCATACGAGTTCGACAGTTTGTTGGCTCTTGTGGTTGTGATCGACCAAATCGAACGAGTGTACAAAGAAGTTTTCGAACGAGTTTTTTTACGCTATTTTTTCTACGACTACAAATTAGCAGCAGACTCACTCAGTTTTTGTCAGTTTTGTGGAATAATTTGTATTATGATGACATTTTGATTATTTGATGTAATGATGACATTTTTCTGACGGCTGCGTTACGTTTGGCGTTTCAGCTAAACATTGGAGGTTAATAATGTTAAAATTGACACATGTCGTGTGCACTAAGACACATGTCATGTTTTAAATCCTGAGCACACGACAGTTTACAAAACGCTAATTTCAGATCAAGTTTTCCGAGTGTCAAACTGCATTTTCTAGGCTAATCGTAGAAAAAAATATTTGTAATTTCGATTTTTGTCAAACTAAACATATAATAGCATTTTGCCGTGTGTGCAGCGGCAAATAGCCCAATCTTTCGTAGTATAGATGTTATCTATAACTAAGTAAAACTCTAAAAGTTGATTTACCGGACTTCTAACGTAAATATCTATTATTTTATTTGTTTAAAAGAGAAATATTATTTTCTAAAAAAGAAAGGTTTGATAGAGAAAACACATATTTCTAGAACTGACTCAAAAATCTGCCAAACACATCACAAATAAAGTAAATCGACGTTTAACAAAGGATTATACTTTATGTTTTACTTTTGTTTGCAGGACCCACATCGTCCTGCGAGGAATCGGACACCGAATCCGAGCCTGGCATACCGCTTAAGCGCAAACAAAGACGTTCGCGGACGACCTTCACTGGAGAACAGCTGGAGGCTTTGGAGAGGGCCTTCGGACGCACGCAGTATCCCGACGTCTACACCAGGGAGGAACTGGCTCAAAAGACCAAACTTACCGAAGCGAGGTAAATAAATCATAATTATTATAGATGTTTATTCCGTTGCGGCCGCGGGTTCATTCCTTGAAAAAATACATACATACATACATACAGCTATTACTCGCTGACGGGTATTTGACACGCATCAGAAGATGGTCACCCAAGTCGTTTTCTTTCATGGGCTTTTCTATGATTGAAATGCCCGATATGTGATGTTATCTGTTTACCGCACTCCGGACATTCAAAAATCTCGTTGCTTTGTTGCCTCTTTACTTTTTGGTTGTCGCTTGAGTTTACAATTATCCTCCATTGCGTTCTATTGTGAGCTGCTTCTTCCCACTCATTCTGCATGTTAATCCCCTTTAAGTTTTCATGGAAAATATCCTTGTCCTTTTTGAGTTATCCACCCGGCCTCCATTTACCGTCTACAAGCTCACCGTAAATCAGAGATTTTGGTATGCGGTTTTCTGGCATACGTGACAAGCCCATCTTAAGAGGGATTTTGTAATCATAACTTCAATACACTCGCAGTTAGCTTTTTTAACGACCGATACGTTTGAGACATGATGGAACCCTTTGATTCTTAAGAGTTGTCTAATGTGTCTCTGTTGCAACTTGTTTAATGCGTTCATGTGTCGGCAGTACGGCACCCAGGTTTCGCTTCCATATAACTGCGCTTCTGTACACCGCAAGTTTCGTTTTTGTGCTCAAGTCATGACTGTAGAAAACCCTGTCTTTTAATTTCCAGAATGCTCTTGATGCGCTGCTAATTGTGTACTGAATTTCAGAGTCGATATTGGCCTTTTCCGAAATCAAACTGCCGAGGTAATTGAATTCCGCTACATATTCCAATAGTTCTTCTCCGATTTTTATAGCATTGTTGTGATCTTCCGGGGAGTGCACATGATTTTAGTTTTGTCGATGTTCAGCTTAAGGCCCAAAGCCTCATATGCCCAGGTATATGTGTTCAACATTTCTTGTACTTGCTGTAACGTTTTTACAACTAGAGCGCAGTCATCAGCGTATTGGAGTTCTATGATGAATTTTATACGTGTTTTTGCCCTGAGCCTTTTTATGCTGAACAGAACGCCGGTGCCGGCGCCGTCCTTCGTGTTTGTATTTAATGCCCAATCCTCTCTCCTGCAGTTTGCTGTCCACTATAATGGAGTCAATTAAAATTTATAGTGTATTTTCCGTTGACCTAGAACTATGAAATTTGGCAAGTAATACCGTCTTCTACTACGATGAATGGGTGACCAAATCTTTTTGTAGATTTTATTAAATCACAAAAAAATAGAGAGTAATTTGATTAACAAACGGAATACCATCAACTAATAATAATAATAAATGCCTTTATTGTCAAAAAATGTTTCAATTTGTAGACAAAGGTAAACTAACAAACAAAGTAGAAAAAAAAACAAGGTACACAAACAAACAAACAAAAGATAATACAAAACATTATATAAATAATATTGTCAGTCTTATTGTTAAAATAAATATTTATAAATGTTTACAATGTCAAAGAACAAAAAAATTAAAATAATATTCAAAAATATTTAGCCAGTTTATAGCAAAATATCAATGACCTCTAAATAAATCAATTTCGATGGCATTAGTAAATATAGCAACAACAAACATTAGACCAGTGTTTTCAAGATCAAATTCGATTTTCAATTCAAATATAATTCATTTACGGCGTAGAAAGCCTTGTCTAGTAAATAAGAGTTCAATGCTTTGCGAAATGAAAAAAATGATGTTATGGATTTGATTTCAAATGGCAGTTGATTGTGCATTTTTTTCGAGTTGTATAATATTGAACTTTTAACTAACTCTGAGCGCGGGGTAGGTAGATAAAGATCTTGCTCCGCGTTCCTGATTGGATAAGTGTGAGATGGCCTTTCTTGAGAAGCTGATACATGTTTACGTATTAGGCAAACGGATTCAAATATAAATAAGGAAGGAAGAGTCAATATTCTTAATTCTTTAAAAAAGTCCCGGCAGTGAGTTCTGCAGTTTAGTCCTAGTGAATATCGAACAGCTCTCTTCTGGAGCTTGAAAATGCGGTCAAATTGAGTCGCACAACACGCACCCCTACTGCTGCTATTGATGAAAAATGACATCTAGCCTACCGAAAGTTGGTACATTTATGTAAAATTAAACAAAAATCAAATATTTTTTTTTTAAATTCGTTCAAGAAACTGATTTTTTAGCCATCTACTCTTAATTCATAGCAGAAACTAAAGTCAAAGTCAAATTATCTTGATGAAAATTTGAATCAGTATTTATCACAGTACTTACGTGATATTTTTTATGCGTGCATTGATTCAGGAAATATATTTATGACTTTTCCCCTTTTGTTGCAAACTTTAGTTGTGTATGTAACTCTTACAAAAGTAAATTTCTTCTTCTTATTCCATCCAAAATCACAAAAGGCAAACTTTTAACTACAAATATTGTATTTTCTTGCAGAGTGCAAGTGTGGTTCTCCAACCGACGGGCCCGATTGAGAAAGCAGCTCAACTCTCAACAACTAAACGCTTTCAACACGATGTCCCTACAAAGTGCCTTTCCCGCAGTCCAACATCAGTACGACCCGGCAGCGTTCAACCAATCGGCTTGGACCGCTCAACAGACCTATAGGTACGTAATTTAATAATTTCCTAATTAAATGCTCGGCAGTTATCACTTGCTTCTCGTCCATGTGGATAATTAAAAACGTTTACGACAGCACTAAAAGTAATATAAAAACCATTATTACCGCTTCTCATAAATATCGAAATGCAAGTAATTAAAAAAACACGTTTTTAGTACTAAAAGTGGCGAGGAATTTTTCATTATTACCATGGTATTTTTCTGTTTTTGCTAAGGGATAAGAATATAATTATTATTACGTATTATTCATAATTCCAAACTTAATCAAATTAAAAAAACCTAAAAAAAAATAATTATTTTTTTAATTAAAAAATAGCGACAGAATAACTATTACTGTGTACATTAAAAAGCATGAGTAGTTACTATACAGGGTGGTCTGAACTGTATTCCGGAAACTTTGGCAGCATATTCTCCATGTAAAAATAAGTAAAAAAGATTATATATAAGTCGCTGATAAATTTGGAAAAATTTTATTCTCTTAATTTAATCATAATTCTATGAAAAATGATGATAAAACAGTTTCTGTTGAACTTTTGATAGAAAAACATTTCAAATTTATGATTTCAGTTTAATAACTGTTAGTCAACATGTTTAATTTATGTCAATGATGATAGGTCTTGATAATTTCGATTCCAAATATCTCGAGAACCATTCCTTGTAGCGATTTTTATCAAGAGATATTTTTTACGTAAAAAATGTCGTAAATTTATATTTTTTTATTCATTAATTTTATACAGGTACGGACAAAAAGTTATTACTCTTCAAACCAGTTAAAAACTATGTAGGTGGCGCCCTCTACAAGTAGGAGTAATATTGACATCAAAATCAAATTTCTCATGTCAAAAAACTCCCAGACACCAATTTTCATCCAAATATTGACGTTACTTCAGAAATTATTTGGAAAAAATCGAAATAAAAATGAAACTTCTACACCCTGTATCTCCGAAACTAAGCATTTTAGGACATACATTTATACGAACTTTTTTACTTATTTTTATCTGCAGAATATGCTGCCGAAGTTTCCGGAATACAGTTCGGACCACCTTGTTTAATTTTTCTTTACGTCATTTATTGGTTATTTTTATTTCTTATTTTAATTTTTCCTTTACGGTTTTCAACCACATTTGACAATTAATTAATTACATTTAGCGATAAAATTACTGTATACTGGGTGTTCCATTTAAAATAAGAAAGATGCTACCACTTTTCGAATGATGCGGCAACACTGTAACGCTGAAAATATTTTAGATAGATGGAGCAGGTGCCTTTATGCAAAAATCCAAATTTTCACTAGTAATACCACTAGTCTTCAACTCGGGATAATTTTCAAAATATTCATGAGCTCGAAAAAATTTCTGGAAATAATTTGACCTCATGTGGTATTCGGTAAGAAAATTCCACACCAAATTGTGTTTGAAAATCAAATAATTAAAATGTAGGTATTTTTCGATTTTTGGTCAAATTGATTGTTTAGTTACTGTGATAACTAAGTGACACCCAAACCTAAAATCTATTTCAGTTTTAAAGCTGTCAAGCGGCACGGCTTAAAAAAAATGTTTCGCTTCGGTCTTGAAAACAAAGAAAATATTCGCCAGGAGATTAAGCAGTTGACACCCGCGAATACTAAGGAATCGAAGTCAAGCGTATGGAAGCAGTTTACAAACTTTTATCTCAGCTTTGTAATTGAAATGTATCAAAATTATCATGTAAACAAATAAAAACCAGACTCTCAAAAAGATATTCTGTCATTATAAACGTCAAAAAATTTCCAGTATAATTCGCTGTTGGGAACCCACAAGGAAAAAATTTTCACTAAAATTTATCCGTTGCCATGATGATTTGTCAAAAAAACACTTTTGATTGGTTAAAAATTACAGGTGTGGAATTTTCAAAAAAATCCTATCACCGAAACGTCTAACGTGCATGGCCTTGAATCACCGTGTATACAATATTGGAGTGAAAATAATAATTCAAAAACCTCATACAGAGCTTTTTCGGCACGCTATATGTATTAATTGTAATTAGTCATAATGCAATCTCAATAAATGTTTTTTTTTTCATTACAGCGCTGCCTTAAGCTCACCTCTATCAACCGCGGGAGGTTCGCTCCCTCACACCCTCGTAGCCACGAGCATAGCCAGCAATACTGCCTCACCAGGAACCTCTACTACACCTCCCTCCACTCAAAATCCCGGACTCTACGAAAAGAACTCTGCGGCAGCAGGGCTCTATGGTTCGTACAATTCCGGTTCCGGACCGCTCGACAGCAACGTCAACCACTTCGGAGCCTACAACATGACGTCACAAGTGTCGCCCAATCAGCACTCTGTTTCGCCGGCGCAGCAGACAGCCGCGTGGATGCGCCACGCGGCGTCCGCTGCGCAGAACAACAAGGTGGCGGAGAATCTGAGCAGTTGGCACGAAAATTATAGGTGAGTTTTACAGACTTTTATAGTTGAGATGACTGATTATATTATCAGTTTGAACTGATAATATATGATTTTCATAATTATTTGGTATAGTGTTTGTTCATGTTAAATCTGTATTTTTATAATTCCTTTAAAATTCTTAAGAAAACATTTATCTTTTATATTTTTTTTTCTGATAAATACAATACTGATAAATTTTAATAAAATAGTTAAAATTTAAGTACGTATATACAGAACTTAAAAAATGTTTATGGGCATTTCTAGAAATATGCATTTTCAAAAATTATTAATAATAAACGACTTCAATCTGAAAACGACATAAAATAATGAAACTATTTAAAACAATCTTTCTTCTAGCAAAGCTAAATTAATACAGTTCGATGGCTGTTAAACGAAAACTACACAATATGATGATTTACAACATCTCGCATGAATCAAACAACATTCGAATGCATAACTTACATAATATAAATGACGTCCTATATTAACAATGAACCATGTTCGGGAAATATATCTCTGTGTACGTCGCTTCGCTAAGAGCTCTTACTAATTTAAACTGCGTTGTAAATTATGATTGTTTGCTGGTTTTGATCCTAGATCATACATACTTCGTGAATGCGGCTACGCAATTAAATTTATAATGCCTGGTCCAGACCAAGCAGACAAAACCACGACAAGACAGAAACATTCATGTTTTACGACAAAATTGCGACAAATCCAATACATTTCTGCGACATTTTTGTCTCATTTTTGTTATGTTTCAAAATTCGGAGACTTTTCAATGTCCCGTCTCGAGTCGGTAAGGATCAAACTGTTTATGTTTTGTTCGTATATTATACTACAAGTTGTCGGCACAGTGTATGACGTGTGCTGCCAACAGTAGGAGACCAATAAAATCACACATGGTTAATAAAACTCACTCGCAACAACTAAACTTTTAACTTTGTTGTACTTTTGTCCTTGCGGTGTGGACAATTTGTCTCAAGTTTGTCTTGTCAGAATTCCCCATTTTTTGTCGCAAGTTTGTTTTGTTTTTGTCTCAAAATCGTCTTTACTTTTTGTCAACTTGGTCTGGACCCGGCATAACAATATGGTATACTAAGGGCTGGCAAAGGTTAGTCTTGGGTCGAGATTTCCGTATGTAAGAAGAGTACAATGCGTTTATAATGTACTGAACAAAGAGAGGACAGTAAACACGTTGCCAAAGGTATGAAATAAACCGAGAAACTGTGCACATCGCTAAGAGACGTGGAAGAGGATAAGCAGATTTGTCGCAGTTGACCGGTCGACCCAATCAATACCTCTGTCAGTACTTAAAGTTCTAGGGAAAAGTGTACATCATGCGTTCAGCTTCACGATTTAATTACGTCTCATGATACTTAATTTGTTTATTTATTAACGAGTCGTTGTAATTTTCCCTATAGCTTGAATTTTTTTAAGTGCAAGCTAGAAACACTTGCATTTTTGGTAAAAATAAGTGGAATTGAGTGGGTGTTCGATAGTGGTCGCGCTATTAGAACTCCGAATTCAAAAATTGATATCTCGAAATCTATTACAAATAATAGATTGCAGTTTTTTCAAGAACTTTGTTAATATTTTTGATGTATTTTCATTGTAGACCATATGTGAAAATCTTTATCAATAAAAAAATTACACGATTGCTGAAAATTGCTACGCCCTAAAAGTAAATAGATGGATTGTTTACAATTTTTGAATGGAAAAAACAACCTTATCGAATTTTTCTTATGTAAACATATTGTAAAATATCCGATCTTGAAAATAAAAAAAAGTTTCAATATCTAAAGTGGTTCTTGAGTTATGGCCTGTTATGAGTTAAAAAGTTGAGTTTTTAAATTATCGCGATTACTGACGTGTCGTTATAAAAAAAATGACACCCTAACCATATCCTTATAATTCCATTTCAGATGCTCAGAAACATGTCTAATGATTTTATCTAGTCATCTCTTGAAAAAAAGTCTTTTAAAAATAAGCGGTTTGCGATCGTGATTTTACTTTACTTGATAGGGAAAGGCGTATCGGCAACGCCGCAACAGCACACCGTCGCGCGTCGCGTCTGTCGGTCGCATTTCTCTCACTCCGACTTAATAAGATCCCTATGCGATTTACTTCCACACATGTAAATGCCGACCCAAAAGTAACAGTTGACAGCACGGTATAAATTGTCTAGGTCTCCGAAATGACATAAACAAATTCTTCGAAAATAAAAATGATACTATCTTTGTTTAGCTCCGAAGAGTAGATATAGCGAATGGACCATAATAATTTGACTATAAATTGTGGAAGAAATTTGCTTTTTCTCGGTATTTCATATGACTGATAAATTACGATACAACTCGGATGAGACAACACATAACTCAACAAAAAACAGAGACATTTAAAAAAAACAGGGTAATTTGCCACCGAAATAAATAAGTTATTTCATTTTCAAAAACAACACTCATTATATTTAGATGCCACTGTTAAAACTCAAACATTCTAATAACCACAAAACCTTTTTAATTTTCAAATTAAAAAGTCAATTTTCTTTAGTTTGGCTGATATATTGAGTGACTGAGATTACAATATATTAACATCACGGAAAATATAAACATCAAATTTAACACCGCCATGAAGCATCACAAATTAATAATAAAAGCCAATTTATTACTCTATAAATAAAACCACCTTGTTTCTTAATTTGAATATACCTACTGGAAACATAAACCATAATCGTTTTTTGATCGTAAAAGACTTCATTCATTGTTCATAAATGTCTATTTATAATGAATATTTGAGATTTATCTAATCGTTAATATAACACATGATAATCATCAGGTTTATTCCCTCATTGTATTAGTTAATTACATGGACAAAACAGTAGCAGATAAAAAGAAGTTCAATGGCAAAATTTAGTCTTTGGCCTATTATACACGCGTTAATTGAAGGGTTGATTTTTATCCTAAGTTTAAAACACCGTATGCAATAATTTGGTGGTCAAATTTTCCTAAAACATTATTTTTCGATCAGAACCATGTCTTCTGATCATATTAGTTTGTGCCGCATATTAACACATGCCTTGGTTAAATTATCATTACTTTTTGATGATATTTTTCAATGTGAGGATATGGCTTTGGTGCTTATTTTCGTGAATATTTCGTTATTGACGTCGAATTTGAACTCATATTGAAATTAAAAAAAAACTTTACAGAGTAACGATTGGTTTATAACAGTCGTATAACCTAATGCTTCTCTGGCTGCTATAACTGCAACGTTAAAAACGTATAAATTCTTCAACTACCCTTTTGATCTTATAGCCACATATTCATAATTTTGCCTAATCTTCAACAAGAGCAATAACTTTTGCACATTCTTCAACACTAAGAACCATATTCAGTCGCAGACATAAAAATATAATTATCAATATGACCTTACGTCAGTAGTCACCAAAGCTACCTCATCGTATTGAAAAAGATCATCAAAAAGGAATAATAATTGAAAAAATTACAAATTGTTGGTGGAAAATTCTTTTAGCTCTTAACCAAGGCATGCGTTGATATGCGCCAAAAAACAAAATGCTCAGAAGACTTGGTTCTGAATTCTGATCGAAAAATATTGTTTTAAGAAAAGTTCCCCACGAAAGAAATTATTACACAGGTTGTTTTAAATGTAGGGTAAAAAATAACCTTTTGATTATTCCTGTATAATAAGCCAAATACTAAAGTATATAAAAAACTGAGTTTACGAATAAGAGTTAATATATTTATATAGAATTTGTAAAAATAATAATGAAAATAGGACTAAAAATAAAAAAATATAACACTTTAAAAAAAATCGGTTTAAAAACATTCTATGAATCAAAAAAGTCTCTTAAAATGTGTTAAAGCATCGACTTAAAAATCATTTTCCGAAAAATAATCAATGTTGACTAATTTAAAACGTGTCAGCTCAAGCGCATAAATTTCAAAGGACTTGTTGTCAAACAATACACAAGTTCGTGTTACCCCATAAACGGTTTTGTTCGTGGAAGATGGCTTTATATCACCGGTACTATACGGCATCGGATTGGTTTCTTTAAACTGCTTAATCCTATACTAAAACGATGAGTAGACAGGTACAAGAAACTTTTACATTGTCAGTCTTTGGCATATTCAGTTACATTATTCTACAGATCAAGAAAAAACTTAAAATGTTCTTTAATTTGACAGAATCTTCATGACGTTTAATCTTTATTGAAGAATTTTCTACCAATGAATGGAACCCAATTTTTTTTTGTTTATTTGTTTTATTTCCGCATTGATTTTCTTCTGTCCAATAATATTTTTTTTATTAATATATTATTTTTACATTTTTCTTAAACTTTTTGAAGACATTTTCCATGTTGAGGCACTGAAAGTTATATAGCTATGGTATTATTTGATAGTCAAGCAGCCTTAAAGGTACCCATTCACATACAGTTTGCCGGCAGTTCTAGTACTGTACGATCTGAACTGAAGATCTAAACTTTGTTAGGCCACACACAATTACGTCGAACGATGCGATCTTCAATTTGGGGACTGTCAGTTTCCGAACTGAAGGAAAACTGTGCTTTCACCACTCACACAAATATAGGTACAAGAAAAACACAAATGAAAAATGTTTTTAAATACAAAAAAAACACTTCTCGCGGTTTGTTTTGTTATTGCAAGAGCCAATTACAAAGACAAAAAAGCATTTCTGGGTGATTTCTGAAAAGATTGGTTGTTACAACGTGATACAACTATTATCTCATATGAAGTGCGAAAATTAAGAACTACTACAAACAGATGACTTTAAAAACTACCTCAGAATGAATGACACAGACGGTTAAGCCCTTAATATCAAAGAAAAATACAAAAACGATTCACCTGAACGCCTTGATTTTCGCTCTTTTTAAGTTTTTTTCGGGGGGCACTTTGCAAATTGTTTATTTTTTTCTTTACAGAATCAATAGTTGTATCAATAGTTTTATAAAATTCCAACAATTT